TGTGTTTGAGCGAGTCATTCAGTTCCAGAACCTTTCAGAATGAGGACGGGCGCCTTGGATTTTTAAATTTTTTTCATTTCCTTTGGACAGAATAGTTCTTCATGATGTTGAACTTGTGTCAATGCACAGATTACTCCTTAGCAAGTGTAGATTGCGCATGTTGTTTCCGCGGTCCTTCGGGTGGTGTCCACAACGGACCCACGCCTTTCGCTCCCCACTTTCACGCTAAAAACCAGCCCGCGATTCAGACGCCCCTTCAAAAATATAGTTAACTAGAGGAAAAATTTAACACACAAGCAAACCTGCGGGGAGAAAAGAGCGGGGAAAGAAAGGAAAAAAAAAAAAAAAAAAAAAAAAAAAAAACCCATCAGAAAATTACCTGGTTTTGTGCGTCGAGCGATTTCTAAGAACTACCCACGATACGGCTTTCCATAATGCACGACTAGTATGCGAGATGCACGATGCACGATGCACGATGCACGATGCGGGATGCACGATACAGGCTGAGAATGAGAAAACTGTAACTAGTGGTTGGTGGGTCAAGTGCTCCAGAACTGTCGAGTTCTCCGCTGTCCCTTACGCGGGAAACACGCGTGATTTATTGTCCTATTCCTATTATGACTCATCTCCACCTTTGAAGAAGGTTGAATCGTCCGGAAGGCCGATATTTTGCCAGCGATGATCCATTATTGGCAAAGATTTCCCATCGGACACATACCGAGGTAGCACGACTCGGTGCTGCCTCTGGCAAACTCTGACCGCTGCCATCTCTCATCTTGATGGTGAGCTGGAAGTTCAAAATCTTCTCATGGACCTTATCTTCCCTTCCCCCAAGACACAATTACTAGCACAGCAGGATGATGATAGTTTCCGCCCGACTGGAAGCTTCTGGAGAAAAGACGAAGCACTCTGGTACAACAATATATGTATAGTACAGCGTTTGCCAAAGGGATGCTGCAGGTTGTCGTCGGGCCCAACTTTCAGCGTCAACTTCCACCCCCCGATTTTCAGTAGAGCCAGTTGAGCTTCCATTTGAACACATTTTCCTCTCGCCTTCTTGAATACTCGCACTCTCTTTCGCTGCTCAGGTGTGCGGACGTTCGGATTGAGTCCTGTTTCCACTCCACCTTTCAAATTCAAGCTGGCACCAAGGTGGAAGGCGATGCAGTGCATAATGTGTACTGTACCATGGGACAGGTTGTTCATTTATGCTTCTTGTATTCGTTTCGTATTTGACACGAGCGACTGGTACGAGTATTCTTGAAATCCGTGAACTGGGGGCGACGAGGGTGTCGTTGCCGCCAAGCATAAGGTTGAAGGAAGCGATTCTATCTTCGTGTCTTCATGTTGTCGCATTCCAGTCCGTTAATCGTCAACCCTTCCCGGTATTGCGGAGCTCAAAGGACGCTTAACCACAGTAGACAGCTCAAGAACCAAGCACCATGCCTTCTTCTGCTTTTTTCTTCCTTGCTTTCTTTCTATTTTTCTCCTCAGCGCCACACCCAAGATGACTTATTTATATCACTGCTTTTACCCCTGTCCCTCCCCTGCCCCTCCTGCGACTGTCATGACGTCCTATTTCTATTTTAAATGTCGAAGAACAGAAGTATACATACTAACTGGTTAGCCAAAAAGTCTTTCCTGGCCATAACCGCTAATCCATTTCCCCTCTCTCCCCACTAGGTTCTTTATTTGGGTTACATTTATCCCTTCACTCGCGATCCACCGTAAAGTACTCATCTATCCATTTGCCTCTTTTCACCGGATAGCCCTATTGATACGAAGCGCTACTATGCAAGGGGAGTAATATGGAATCTGGGAGAGGCCTTGACAAACGGGGGACGGGGGAAATAATTGGTTTTGATATGATGGGCTCTTATTAACTCCCATTCGGATCCCCTATCTAGGATGACAGTCTAATTCTTCATCTGAACGACATCCGGCATGCCAAATGCAGCCGAGTAAATTATATATATCTATCTATTAATTTGAAATTTCAACAACAAAAACAACTTCAAGGTTTTAAAATACAAGGTTACTACCAGTACTAGAATTTTTGCAGCCCCTGGCCCGGACGAGGGATACAGCTGAGCTTTTGCTTATCTTCTCAGGCTCCTTTGCCAATGGTGATCAGATCTACAGCTGATACCTTCTCTTTCGTCCACGATTAAACTGTTGGGGGATATGTGCTCGATGGATGTAAACTACTTTACTACGGCTGATATCAGGGGGTTGGGCTGAAGCGACGGTTGACGCTCGTTGGTTGGAGGTACGAGTAACGGGGTGAATCATGAATCTCTCGAGAATGGTATCTGAATTCCATTTGATAACTCGTTACTTATGCCGATTAATCCATGACGCACATACATACTAGTAGTACTGGTATCTTCAGGTTGTTGAACTTGTTGGTGAAAGGAACCGCGACAGCGTGACGGAATGACGCCAAGTCGCCAACCCGAAGAGCCCAAGCAAAAAAGCGCCTGTTATCTCATATATGCCTTTGCCAGAGCCAAAGTCAACATCAACAACATCTGAACTACGGATTTCAATCCCTTTTTTTTTTTTTTTTTTTTTTTTTTTTACACCTTTGTCTAGGAAGAAGAAAGAAGAAGCTCGAAAAACAACAGAGCAATAAATTCGTCAACCTACTTCTGCCACGCTCGACTCTTTGTTTTTATTTACTCTAACTGCGCACCCCACCGCCCTCCTCAACCCCCCCTCGAAATTGCCTTGACCAAATAGAGCAATCCCACAAAGCCAACACCAGAGAAAACCGAGTGATGGCTGAGGAGGGGAAGAAGGAAAAAGATAAGATAGAAGAGGAGGGAAGTATGGCTGTCCCAGCGGAAGCCAGCAGCACTGCGGCGGTGCAGGTGACTGTAACGGAGGCTGACAGCCAGGCTCATGCTCGGTCTACTGTTGGGTTAAAGCGAGATGAAGAGGATTCAGATTTTGATTTGGATGGTAAGTTTGGGAACATTCATATCTCTACCTTTCCCTTAATCCTTGAGGCTATGGTTGCAAGAGGATTGTTTTTTTTTTTTTTTTTTTGGGAAAAGTCCAGTAAGGAAGGCGAAGATTGGCAATAAATTTTATAATATCAGACTACACAACAAACGTGTATATAATACATATTAAGAAAGAAAAAAACAAAAGTCAATCTTCTAACTTAGCCAAATCACCACACAGACCTCCTCGACGATTTCTCTCCATCAAAAAACCTTCCCTCAGCTACTCCCGCCGCATCCTCCTCGAATAAACCCCCATCCGCCTCCGCCTCCACCTCCGCCGCAGGACCACAGCTACCGCCATCATTCCCATCTGACCAAAACGTCACCGGTGCCTCCGAATCAGACCTCGATGAGGACGCCTTCCTCCGGCAGCTTGAACACGGCATGGCGGGGCTCTTGCATCAAAAACCCACTGGCAGCGAAGGCGGTGGTGGAGATGGAGGGGATGGCGGTAGCGACAGCGAACCAGACTGGGATGCCCTTGCGCAGCGAATGGCGCAGGGCGAAATGGATCCGACGGCTGTTATGAAATTACTCATGGGGGAGGGGGGTCCTGGTGCGTTAGCCGGGGGGATAGAGGGGGACTTGGGCGGCCTTGGCACCAGTGGTGGCAGTGGTAAGGAGGACGAAAAGGGAGAATCCGGGACGACGTCCGGTGCTACTGATGCTGCTGGTGCTGCTCGTAGTGCGAGTAACGCGGAAGATGGGTTCCAACAAACGATCCGCAAGACGATGGAGCGGATACAAGCGTCTGGGGACAAAGCTACCGCTGCGGCGGGGGGGTATGGGGCCGACGACGACGACGATGTACTCATGCGGTTGCTGAAGGCGGTGGGCTCTAGCGCTGCCGGTCATGCGGGCGCCGGTGAGGCCGACGACGAGAGCCTCGATAAGCTCTTCATGGGAATTATGGAACAGTTGTCGAATAAGGATATGCTCTACGAGCCGATGAAGGAACTGAATGATAAATTCAGTCCGTGGCTGCGGGAGAATCGAGACAAGGTACCCAAAGAGGATCTGGAGAGGTATGAATTGCAGGCTACCATTGTGGCGGAGATTGTGGCCAAGTTTGACGAGGAGGGGTATTCGGATGACAATCCGGCGGATAGGGCTGCTATCTGGGAGAAGATGCAGAAGGTATGATTTGGTTATGCTTATTCTTCTATCACATTTTTTTTTTTTTTTTTTTTTTTTTTCATTGCCCATTTTTTTGGTGACATGAGGAGAGAGCTATGCTGACGAGTGTGATGATAGATGCAAGCCGCGGGGAGCCCGCCTGATGCCTTGGTGTCGAATCCGCTGGCGGATGAACTTGGGCTGCCAGGCGCTTTCGCTGGCGTGGGAGGGGGAGGTGGAGGGGGCGCTGAGATGCCGCAATGTCCGCAGCAATGAATCATACTCTGATAAACAATGATTTTCGCTATTTGAATCCCTTTCGTTCCTTTCCCTATTTTCGCTTTTATATACATCGACTTCTCCAACGAGACCCTGGGCATTATTCTCTATATATTCAACTAGACGGAATGGTTATTCTCATTCCGGTGTACTGTACATATATGCAAATACCTTCAAATACAAGAGAATCCCGAATGGACCCCTTCTCCAGTTTCCCTTGATCAGTTGCATACGAAATTTTCATCTCGCGAACGAATTGGAAAAAAAAAAAAAAAAAAAAAAAAAAAAAAATTACTGCTGCTCCCCAAGCGCCCGAAATAGAGCGCCAAAAAGTAAATCGATAAAAGTAGGATCGACATCCGAGCCCAAAAACGCCGTTTCAATGCACTGCTCAAATACGTGATAAGATATTCTAAAATGTCTACCGTCACGATGTATCCATCCCGTCATTCATGTCGTCGGTGTGATCTAGCGATGCTGTGTGATGGTCATGGTCGTCGTCAAGCAACTCAGCAAAAATATGTTCATAGATTTCCTCATCGTCATACTGGGAACTTGCTGGGACCGGTTGCGACTGCTGTTCAATGTCTCCTGGGCGCTCCAACTCCTCTAAAAAGGCCTGGTAGTCTTGCTCCTCCGAGATAAATTCTTCGAGGATGCGTTCGTCTGTTGACATCCCAACGTTAGCCTCGTAGTTTTTTCCTTTTTCGTTTTTCCATATCTATTTCCGACTCTGTGGAGATCTTGCTTGGGAAAACAAAAAAAAATAAATATGATCATAAAAGAAAATCAACTTAAGCTCAGCAGGTGCGGGAGCCATGTCTACACACACACACACACACCTTCAAAACCAAACCCACGATCCTTTTTCCACCTCGCGCCAACACCGATCCCCTGGATCCCTTCATCGAACACCATCCCATCGTCGTCCACCTTCACATCCTCCTTCTCCTCTTCCTCCATCAACGGTCCAAAGTCCGGCGCAGACCTCGCGAGCGTCTCTTGATACCTCCGCAGCTGCGCCAGATAATTGGTTCGCTGGATCTGGTCGCTTCTGGCCTCAAATCTGCCTTCGTCGCGATCATGCTTCACTTTATTCAGGAAGCTGCCGAGCCGTTTCTCGCGGGAGCCTCTCTGGCATGCGAGTTTGGCAGCTGGGTTGCGGATCTGGTTGGCATAGCGTTCGGCGTATGATTGCCTGGGGAGTGTGCGGGATGGTGGTGATGTCGTCGCTTTCGCTTGCTTATTGTCATGTTCCATTATCTGCAACTGGTGTCGGGGGACGGCGAGGTTTGCATGGTGTGCGGGGATGGGTGTTTGCGGTGCGTGAGAGAATAGGTGTGTGAAGGGCGGCTGTTGGGTGATGGCAGTAAACATTATTATTTTCAACTATTATCGATATACATTGGGAAGCGTATCAGTCGTTCTGCAGATGCTGTCTATTGTGTGAAGCATTAACTAACAGATCACGAACGCGACCATTTGCTGATTACATCATTCGCGTGTACTTGATCACGCTAGGCCGTATTAGGCTAAATCGGTTGAATTGGACGAGATCTTGACCATCTAACCTGCTCACGCTTTCAATTCGCTGTTCAGCTCAATTTTCATGGGAAGATGCTTCAGGGGACTCAATCCTTAAGCAGTACGCAGCAGCACCGCTGCGGAAGGCCATCCATCAGGTCGCATTACTTGATGCTGTAGTACTCCTAGTTTATGGCCTAATTGTGATATGGTATGCTCTGCCGAGTTACCCAAAGTTTTCATACCGATCCGAAAATATGCTTACGATATGTCCCATATAGCGGGTAGATTTATGTGCGGAAATAGTTTGCGATGTAAGAAGTGCTACATGGAGTTGACGATCGTACCGCCCTCTTTTTAATTCAGTTATAGCGTACCTGAGCTCCACGAGCAATTGCCTTATCTCAGGTATCATCAGCAACTATCCTGAACATATCCTCAACTCCTAACCCATCAACAAGACAATGAGTGTTGGCTGGAGATATGTTTCTGTTGACAGAGTTGGCACTTTTCTCTCTCGCTTCGCCATCTTTCAGCACAGTCACCAACTGCTTCCTCATAAGCCTCCAGCGTCGCGACTCCGGCTTGCCTCCCAGCCAGTAATTCCGTGTTACCATTCCATGGCCGAATCATCCCCTCCGGAAGACGAAAGAATTTACTACCCCGAGATAGATGTGGAGGATTTGGAAGGATATAGGCCCGGCGGATACCATCCAACTCTTGTTGGAGACACCTTTTGTACCGGTCGCTACAAAATAGTTCACAAGCTTGGATTTGGTGCTTATTCAACAATCTGGCTCGCTCGCGACCAGCATCTCCAGCGCTATGTGTCGCTGAAGATACTTGTTGCGGGAGCTTCGGAGAACAGTAATGAGGGCAAAATCATCCATCTATTGACAAAAGGTGATCCACATTGCCGTGGAAGACAGTATATCCCGACCTTGCTTGACCAATTCTCTTTTGATGGTCCCAACGGACATCATCAGTGCTTGGTTGCAGAGCCTGCTGGCTGTAGCATATCCACTTCCAAAGAGAACAGTGCCAACTTTATGTTTCCACAAGATGCTGCTAGATCCATCGCCGCCCAGCTCATCATGGGCTTGAACTATTTGCATGAAAATGATGTATGCCATGGAGGTATGCAAAATATAACCTTGCTCTGCGATTAGTTATTCAAATTCACTAAGCCCAAACAGATCTTCATCTGCGCAACTTTCTTCTTCGCGTCCCGAGCTTTGATAATTTAACTACAACTGAACTGCACGAACATCATAGCAAGCCATATGAGATTCCTACCCGGCGTCTTGATGAAAAGCCTAGCATACCACATGCACCACCACATGTCATTTATCCCATGCTTTGGAACATACCTGCGAACAAAGTGATAGATCCTGAGATTATTATCTCAGACTATGGGGCATCTTTTGTGTGTTTCACAAACACCATCCCCCACTTTTGTGCGGGGTAGGAGGGGGTGTATTCCCCCCCAGAAGAATTCTTCAATGACCACATCACCACTGCAGCTGATGTATGGACCCTGGGTGTTGTCCTATATGATGCTTTGGGCGAGCGCCCGCTTTTTGAAACGTTTGCATGGGACCCAGATGACATCATTGCTGAAATGGTCAACACCTTGGGACAAATGCCTGAAAGGTGGTGGGACTCCTGGGCAAACCGCTCTGAGTTCTTCAACCGAGATGGGTCCTGGATCACCAACTTCCAGCGCATCAGCACACCTGTATTCCGTCGTCTTCACCAGCGGATGTGGGATATGGGCCGGGGTGAGACACAAGAAACGTGTGAATGGGATGTTGCTAGTGGCGAGTTCAAAGCTCTAGAGGATATGCTGCGAGCTATGATGACATTCGAACCAGCCGAGAGACCGACGGCGAAGCAGCTCATGATGTCTGAGTACATGGTGAAGTGGGCCATGCCGGCATGGGAGAGGCAGATGGAACGAAAAAGGTCTTACACTGCTGTGGACCAAAGGAGGTAGACTCTCCATGAATTGTTTACTTAGATTCGCACCAAAACATATTTGCTCTCGAGAAGCTGGATTAAACCCCCTGCTATGGGCGGCCATTACGTGTATCCCATGACTCCACTCTATGCCGCAATATGCGTCACTCGCTTCGCTCACTTACGCATTTTCTACGAAAACACATGAATTCCCCTTGGCCGGCCCAAGGGATGAAGTGCATTGCTTGCGACGGGAGTTGCTCCAAGAGAAATTTACACCTTGGAACCATGACAAGGTTGGATATAGAACTGCTGTGAGAAGGAGCGCTGAGCAGCTTGCATTAGATATACCCAAACAGACTCGCCATCATCATAAATTTGATATAGTAGATTGTTTGTCAGCTCACCTCTATTCCTTTCTGGCCCTTCACTTCTTTTATCCCAATAACCACCTTGCTAGTAGGTAGTGCCGGATGCGCTCATAACCCCAACTTGGCCTCTCTCTTTCTCTCTTCATTACGTCTTGACCCAGTGACCGTGAGCCCAGAAAGCGGCTGACAAAATCTCTGAAACATTGGACTTTCCATCTTCTCTTAGACTGCCATGCCCTTCATCGCCTTCCTTGATATACTCCCAATCCTTGATGATCCGATCAATGATTTCACTCATGCCAGATGCATTTAAAATTTCTGCAATTCTCCAATGGCATTCTAGCAGCTCTGGAGAGGGAAGTTTAACATCTTCACCCCCTTCTGCCTTTCGCATTGTAACCTTTTGGTCCTGTGGGAAGAACACCTTTTTGTAAGGATAATCCAAGTAGGTTTTAAAGTTGTAGACGTGCGGGGTTTCCTAAATAGCAACAATGACCTTAGTAATCTTGAGGAATTAAAAACTTTAGGAAATGTTGAGTTTGGCTTCATACTGTAGGCTCAAAGGCGCATCGGAACTTTCCGAACTGCTTATGAATTATGTCCAACAATGTTATTCCATTTGACGCGTCATTAATATTTCTTGCATTCATACCAATCCGCCGTATTGATGGGAAGCAACGGAACAAAGTCTCCCAGACATTTGCAGCATTTTTCTCCCCCTGCACTAAATTAGCATTTTGTCTCGATAGATATATATTTGGTGGGTGGGGGGTTTCAAGAGGGGGGTGGGGAATCGGACATGCCGAAATATTATGCCATGAGGCGTAGGCGAAAGGTATTATGTGTGCCGCCTCTACATCACCATGGTCAACCTCAGAAGGCCGATTGATATTCTTCCAAAGGTTTATATCCATCCGTTGTGTTACAACACAGCGAGATCCATCTCGACGAAGGCATTTGTCACGAAATTCATCAGTTCGTGATTGGGGTTCGGGGATGTTCGCAGCAACGAGATCTGCATTTCTTTGGTGCTTGATGATAGGAGATTCAGTCACAGAAGCCCCGGTACTCAGAGCCTTCACTATGGCAAAAAAAAAAAAAAAAAAAAAAAATTAACATTTTAATCCATCAAAGAAAGGTATGTAGAGAGAAGAAAATAAGAAAAATAAACAAATCCGAACTCACTGGGCTGCAAAAGTCCAGATGCCAAAGTTTTGAAGACATAATAAAGGGCTTCATCATCACCGCAGCTCTCCACGTCATGGACCAGAGAATCCACTCCTTCTGCAGGTAGCCAATCAAGGCATGCATTTAAGCATGGTATTAGGTTATTGTCAGTGCTCTTGGTATGAGCCCACTGGCCAGGGACATAACGGCCAATACGATCTTTGACCTTGCTGACTTTACGCTTCCGAGATTCAGGACTATCTTGTATTGTTGACATCTCTGAGAACACCGTCTCAGCTGAGAGCTGTCGGCTTGAACACGCAGGCTCTGCAATCTCATCTTTATCACTCATTGCAGCAATGCGCTGTGATCGACGTGGATGGAAATCCTCTGGAGTCTTGGCTTTGGGCACGGCTTTGAGTCTTGATATTCTTGTTGTTCTTTCGTCCTTTTTGAAAATTGTAGCAACCTAATCCCCTAATAACACATGTTTGTGAGAAAGTTTGAACCTGAAAAAACAAAGTAATTTTGTTCAAAACAAAAAGCAAAGAAAATAAAAGAAATCAGAATCAGATCAAATTATCAAAAATGTGAGTGCAGGGCTGCAACAACAATACTAATCCTTGTTGAGAAACACATTGAGAGAAATAAAAAAAGAGAAACGTGCCCAGCAGTAATCATTGTAGTTATTTTATGAAAATAACCATGGATGGATGGATTATAGCGATAAGAACAGGGCTCTACAGAGCTCAAAACGCACGGAGGAACAACTCAAATCAAGAGCAATACCTTTACTTAGTTGCTTGAACTTGGATGTATGGGATGTGAGAAAAAAGTGTAACAGTAGGTAGGAGTCAACCCAGAGAGGGATAGCGAGATTGAAATAGCAGTCAGTGATTGATGGAGAGCCTGAATTCAAGTGGGGCCAGATGGTAAAACTGCAGAGCTTGAGAGCTGGAGAGCTGGAGAGCTATAGAGTTGTTAGCCTGCCTGGCGCTCTATCTGATCTGGGATAGGATCATAGATGATGGAGGAATACATGAGGCGAGGTGTGGGAAATCTGGATACTGCCACATTATGCCGCCTGTAGCAGTTCTTGTTACTGTACCGTCAGAGGAACATCTCTTGATAGATCTAACTTTATATCCATATTTTTAGATTATCTATTTGAATTACGTTATTGAACAATACTAGTTAACTATTCATTTTTGAACATGGTATGTTTTATTAACTAATAAAAATTTAAAATAGAAAGAAATAACCACTGGGCGGTCATCCCTAACCTTTGCTAATGCCACGTGACCACACCTATTTCACCAACGTAGATATAACTTCTAAGAACCTCCGGATATCATTATGGCTGATGTGGATGCAGTGAGCACTCTACGTAACAAGATTTTCATACCATCGATTGATATCTGAATTTATGAGCTCCAGCATTGAGATTTGCATTTATATTTCTGTGCATCTGTAGTAGAGAGTGATTTGCCAACATTCCCCTAAGCGCTTGCTTATAAGACTGGCCAAAAGAACGGATTAGCGAGAGGGCAAGAACATCAATATCAAGATTACCGGGTTGATCACCACCACCTTTTTTGCTTTCACAGTGTGGCGTGTTTGTGCTTGCTTTATTTTAGGTTTTCTTTCAGTTTTTTTTTACGAGGTTTTCAGAATTTGAGAGTTGGAAGAAAGAGAGGGAAAAGCAGGCAAACAGAATGGAAAAGAACAAGAAACAAATACAATGAATTATTAATGAAAAACAAGAGCGAATAGAGAGAAAGTAGGTAAGGGTACAAAAGAAAAACAGAGTTATAACTCCCGCATGGCCATAAATAAAAAGAAAATATCAACAATCATCCGTGCCAATGGAGGTTGATGTGATAACACCAGAAAAAAACAGTCCAATGCAGCCCCAACTCTACCCAACGAAATGGAGAAAACAGAAGGGTATCAGCCATTTCTCCAAAGCAGAAACTTGCAAACTTGCTTCGCACAACATAGAAACGAAGTAAATCCGGTTATGCTCGTGCAAGACAGATCCAACGAATGCCACGCTTTTTCAATTCCAAAGTTTCAATAAAAATAGGCAAAAAAGGGGGTTAAAAGATTCCTTTTCACCTTTCAGTTTCCTCATTTTCGCCAAACACTCAGAAATTCGACGACGGGTTCACCCCGCCAGGGTGATGATACTGATCCAACGTAGATTTAAACGGGCTAGGACCCGTTCCCACCGTCGAGGTTTCATGGCTCGACGAGCCTACGGCAGTGCCTGCGTTCATCAGGTCGTCATCGTCGCCTACGCCGCGGGAGTTTCGCTTGCGACGCAACCGCCATGCCACGAAGGCTAGGCCGCCCACGAGGACGGCACCGCCTACGCCAACGACGACACCGATGATGATTCGTTTGGACGAGTCGCTGAGGCCGGAGGAGGCGCGGCCGCCGTTATTGTCGTTGCTTAGGCCGGGGGCGGGGGATTGGCCTGGTGTTATGGTTGAGGCGGAGGTTTGTTCAAAAGTGCTGCCACTGATGGTGATGGTATTGGTGACGATGACGACGGAGGATTGTGTTGGTTGGGGAGAGTTGGTTCGCGGGGGAGGGGTGGTTCGGTTTGTTGTTTTGGTTGGAGTTTCGGAGCTGGTAGTTTTGGGAGGGGGTTCGTTTGTGCTTGAAGTGGTTGGATTTTCGGGCTCAGAGGTGGTTGGTGGTTCTGGCGTTGAGCTGGAAGTCGAGGAGGTTGTGGTCGTTGTTGGTTCGTCGGTTGGAGATGGGGAGGCTGTTTGTGACTCGTCGACGCTGACACTGTCTCTTTCTGCCATTATTGATCTCGCGCAGCAACGCGATGCCAGACGAGGCTGAAGCAGCAAAGGGAAAGGA